CCCTCGCACCCCCGGCGGGAAAAGAGGCGGCCTGCCGATACAGGGAAAACGTTGCAACCGAGGAGACACAAACTGCTGTCAAAACCAGAAAATAAACAAAACGAGGGTGGTGGGGATATATATATATATAGCTAGATATCTATATATAGTTATAGATTCATAGATATGTACATAAAAGTATCTTCCTTCACTGCCATTCAATCATTCTTTGCTGTTACTAGTAACAGCTGTAGGTATAAAACGATCCTGCCTGAGTGGGATTTTAAAGTTGTTGTAAACAAAGAACGCTACCCTGCTGGGTCTCAAATGCAGGCACTGCAGCACACTGGAGAACCGCTCAAGTCATCCTCATAGCTCCGAAAAACCCTTGTTCACAAGTACCACACAAAACAACGCATTTTTATCTTTAATCCAACACTCATGGAAGTAGCAAGCTATGGACCAATCACCGACTTCATTTTTCTTGAACTTCATGTCTCAGAAACTCAAGTGCTCGCATGGTGGTGTTGCTACTGTTTCTTGAGGGCACAAATCACGTCGTCATCTACATCTGCACAACACTTACCACTGTGGCAAATACAAAGCAGCGAGACCCTAAAGGTAAAGTCAACTGGAATCTGTCTATGAACAACTCAGTTTTCTTATTTTGAACCACGCACAGATCGATACGCAACGAAGGAACATTTAAACAGAAAAGAAGATTTTTAAAACAGTAAGTGAATAAATAGCTCACAAATTGATTCAGCAACCTGATTAAACTATAGCCACTGAAGGAACAGACGGAAACATGAGAAATAGAGATCCTGAAAACTCTTGCACTATTAATAACCTCCATCAGCAGTAGCAGCAGGTGCAATGAAATGACTGAAATGACACAGGACAAAAGAGCAATGCTGGGAGCCCAGCGGACAGTTCATCAGTCTTCCACAATGGACTCCCACATTTTCAAGTGTGGATAAACCCAAACCAGTTCTCAAATACCTGTGTCAGCATGGAAGTACGTTTAGCCCCAAGTGACTTTCCTCTTGCTTTTCACGACTCTTTCCTCAACAGAGGCAGTGGTTCTGTGCTCATGAAAACCTTTTTTTGGATGGGACAAGTGCGGCCATACAAAGCAGCAATATGTGCGTTGTAGAATACACACACCCTGCTTCATTCCTCTAACGTGCAAGCTGCAGCACACTGCTTCCCTATAGCAATAAATCATATTAAATCTCAATTTGGCATTCATGTGTCTTTCTGCTGAAGCCTATACAGAAAAAAAGCCTTTCTTAGCATGTAAGTACAGGTAGAGTTGCACCTGGAGCCAGTACAGATGAAGTTACCCCCACGTGCTCATGATCCAAATCCTACACACTGGGTCACACCATCGTTTTCCCTCTGCTTTCCAAGCCATTGCCAGCTTGGTTCACCATCCGTACCGCACCACACCACTCTTCCTACTCCCTTCATTCTTTTCATACTTCCAGTAATGGAGTGTGGCTACTCAGAAAAGAGTGCATGTGCCAAACGTGGGGCTCTTGGTACAGAAAGATCAAAATATCAGACTTAGTGGCTGAAATACCCATTTGCTTCAGGGCAACTTTCTGTGAAAATTTACTACATTAACTATAGGGTCATTTTGATTGTGACTGGCATTGGCAGTATCATCTGGAAATCATTCAAAGTCTTTCACAAAAAGCTATCACTTTATGCATCTTACCCCATTCATTTTAGTTTACAGACATTACTGCATGAAGAAAAACCTTGCTGGTAAAGCAAAGGTGGAGATCATCAGAATGACCTTCTCTCATGGAAATAAAATTTCTTCATTATTTTGCAGGCAGTACTTTCTTGGAAGTGTTTGACCCCTAAAAAGCTAGCTTTGTTCTCCTGGCTGTTCCAGGCCTTCCTGGCCTTTACACTGAGGCAACAAAATGTGACGACACAGGTTACTAAAGATTTACTCCAAGTCTTGTCATTTCAGTTGCATCTATGATTTTATTGAGACTAAATTCTTTTGACTTGCACTGACCCAGAATCTAATTTTATACATCAGCCCATGAATTCTTAACTGTCCCTTCTTCTGGCACTATTTGGTGAATGTGTGGGTTTTTACATCCACTTATTTAATTCCAGGTTTTCTTTTCTGTATCTTTTCCTAATTTTTTAAGCTTTTTTTTTTTTTAAATCTTGAAAACTTCAGTAAAAGCTAGAAGTGGAAGCAACAATACTTTGTAGCTGGCTATCTAACACCAAACCGATAAGACATATTATATAAAAGAAAATATTTTGGTATCATTTCCAATCTCTTATCATTTACATCATATGTGCATATGATGACAACGATGTATTTCGTGCACTTTGAATTCAAGTTACATGGCTAACCAGCATTTTTAGAAAATCACAGAGAAAGGAATGGGAATTTCATTTTATACTGTGTGGTACAGCAGCCCTGTGGGTCTCAACAACCTATGGTACCTATGGTGGAGCTTTCAGACAAGGAAGCATAAACTATTTTTTATGTTTCTGCAGTGGTGTGGTAAGTAGCAATAAGGTAGGGGAGCTACTCAACAGCAACATTGAATTTCACAGCATTTGTATATAACTCCTGAGCAAACAACATCTTCTAAGGAGGAATCTATAACCAAGAAAACAAAATTTCCATCCATTATCTTCACTCTTATTTTTTCCCTTACACTACAAAGACCAATACTGAACCAAAAGGATCAGTAGCATTTGATTATGCACAAAATGTTTATCAAAGAAATGTTTAACAATGAAAATAATATTAATCAGGAGCACACATGGAAATAAAAGTGCAATAAAACATCTACATGACATCCTAATGGCATTACTACATGAAAACTGAAAAGTGAAAGGGCTCGCGTATTCAAAATAATCTCCTGAGAATCCTGGGAAAATTTTAGAGACTATCACAAGCTCTTTTACATAAACTTATCCAGAAGTAAAAATGATACACAAGCAGTATGAGCATGTAGGATTTTCATAACATTATGCAAAAATGACAGATTAGTTCTGACAAAAAGCCATGAACTTCTCAAGCAGACGGAATCAAGTTTTGATTAAGCCTGATGTGCTTCACAGCCTTGGACTGAAGCTAGGCAAAACTCGGTGATTTTCACACAAGTCAGGCAAAACTCCACCACTGGTTTACTCAGCAGGACAATCAAACAAGGACATAATGTGTGAAACGGAAAAGTAAAGAGAAATAACTCATGCGATTCCTCTGCAGACTGAAATGGCTTTGTCCCAGATCTCTCTGGTGTTCTACACGAGTGCTACAGAAAACCCTAAGGTATAGAGACATTTACTGCAAGGAATGCAGGCTACCTCTCTGGTCTCTTCAATCATACACATGGGTAAAAAAGCAAAATACGGTCCAAAATTTTTTCCCCTTTGTCAAATCCCACCTCAGAGGTGGGAGGAGAGGGACTAAGGTTCTGCAAATCCCCTCAGGCTAAATTAAGGTGAAATGACACCAAATGATGAATTAAAAGTTTTACCTGTAATGGAAACAACTTGAACTTGGAAAATATAAAAGCGTTGGCAATGGATGCTCTTATTAGAAACATCTATAAGAGGAAGGAAAATGAAGAGAAAAAAGAGACAGGAAAGAAAGATGAGGAAAGGTAGCACCAATTTTTGCTCACGGCAATCGGCTTAACAGCTAACAACAAATTAGCGGCAGATCAAACGACAGCAGCTTTTCACACTACTTTTACAACAAACAGCAATATGGGCCTTGCATTACTTAAAGGGAAGGGAGAGAGAGAGAAAGAGAGAAAAGAAGATCACCAGCCCTGGTTCCAGCACAGGTCCTGCCAACAGAGTGCCCAGGCTCTGGGGGTGCCACCTACGCAGCGATCTTTTTGGAGTTTACAGGCAGCCAGCCTCCTCCCCTTAGTGGAGCTTCCTCATGTGATCTCCCCTGCCACATTTACCTTTGTTTGACCACTTCTAGGTGCAGGACTCTTGGTGAGGCGGGACTTGTTTAGCCCTTAACAAGGCTTGTTTTGTGGTAAGAAAACGGGAGTTGGGTACAGAGGCAACTAAAAGTGGTCTGCTAAGCTTTACCAGAGCAGCACGGGGCTGTGAGGCCTCGCCCATACCCCTGGCTTCACTTGGTTGATTCAGTGCCAGATTGAAGGCCACAAAGATGAGCAAGTTGCTCAGCTCTTGCCTTTGATCAGGTCTGGTGCTTATCGGCATGAGATAAACACAGCGCTCAGCCTCCGCTCTGGCGATTCTGTAGCCAACACCCACAGGCCTTGTCCTTCATATTAACACATTATATGAATGTTTGAGACGTTTAACTTCATATTGTCTGGACCCTTCTCAAAGCAACTTCTCAGTGACTGTATCTAGGCACACTGGCTTTCTGTCACCACTCCCCTGCACAGCTCCAACAGCACACGTTATGGAGACAGTCAGAACTGGATCCATAGAAGGCCTCATCAAAGGAGCCATTAGGGTATCTGTCCATCAGGCTATCCTACTCTCAACTATTCTAATTCATTTAGATAGTTATGCCAGAGAAGCAATATTTAGTCATGCTGCCGAAGGACACGTCTTACAGCCCATGCCAAATACATAGCTTATTTTACTTTGATTTGTAAAAGTTCTCAAAAA